GACAATAATCGACCACGCGGTTCTATGAAAACATCGGTAAAAACTGAAAATTTAGCCAGACTGATTAAAAAAAAAAAAACAAAAAGCAAGAATATATTAACATACAATTCCGCAATGAAAGGGAATCACTACGATACTGGAACCATTAGAAAATATAGAAATAACTTTTATACCATAAAATCAACATTTGAAGGAAACAGTTAAATTCCCTTCAAGATGTAAACCAACAAAGCCCACTCAATGAATAAACAAGTATGCGAGTAAACATTTGAATGAATTTGTACTTGAAAACCTTCTCTACAAAAAAGGCTGCCAAGCACAACCAAGATGCTTCGCTGCCTCAGTTTTACCAACATTTAAGAAGAAATAATCTACCAATTATCATAGCACCAAAGCTATCAGAATATATCCCTCATGGATTTAGAACTGCAAAAATACCAAATTTTAGTACATCTGAATTCAGCTATATGTAAAAAGATATTATATCATAACCAAAATAGGATTTATCCCAGAATGAAAGGCTAGCGAATACTCAAAATAAAACAGTATATTATACGTATAATAGACTCAAAAATGAAAGATATATGATCTGCACAAAAGCATATGATAAAAGTTTTTGCTATTATGAATAATGCTGCTATGAAATGGGCAGTCATTAAATGCATGGCAAGTCACAAGGGTCAACTACATACTCCTAGGAATAGCAATAATAAAAAGACCATACCAAGCTCAGCAGGATGTAGACAAAGTAGTAGGAAATCTAGCACAACTAGACAGAAAATCAGCAAAGATACAGAAAGCCTGACTATCTATCAATCCACTTGACCTAACTGAGTTCATAAAACCTACTTAACAAGAGCACAGTGTAAGTTTTTTTTTTTAAGCATCACTGGAACGCTCAGATAAGACCATATGCAACTGCCTAAAAAAGTCTCAGAAAAACTTATTAGAGTCATTCCAAATGTTCATCCTACCTCAATGTATCACAAGAAAAGAAAGCTGCAGATCAACATCCTTCATAAAGAGAGATATAAAAATGATCAACAAAATATTAGCAAACCAAATTCAAAATATATATGGAAAAGATTATATACCATGATCTAGTCA